TTGCCACGTCCACACATGGTAGAGGATGCAAAACCTTCCTCACCCATCTTGTATGAGACTGTATACCATTCATTGCCTTTGCCCACATGACAAACCACTTTCTAAATGCTTTACCACTTAATACAGTCACGTTGATGATTAAGTTTTAGCTTTAATTCTGAAAGAATGTATCCAGACTTTAACTCTACTCAAATTATTTCTTCTACAACTTCCAATTTAGAAAAAAAAACACATGTAATTTAACAAGAGCTATTTCTGCATTTTAAAATCCTTATTCTTGTTATCCTGCAATTTCATCAGTAAAATTTTTTAAGTTGAATACTTTAAACAATGTTTTTGTGTATTTGTCAAATGAAAATATATAATTTCAGGGTTTTGAAATAAAAAATTGTAGGATGGTTAGACTCATTTGATATATAATAATTATTACACAAAGCTGCTCTGACGCTGAGCAAGTAGTGTATGCTTGTCACGCAGTGTCAGGAGGCTGAAACAGAAGATTGTGAGTTTGAGGCCACCATGTGGGTAAATAGCAAGACCCTGCCTCAAAAATGAAGAAAAACTGTGCTATAATTACAAGAAACAACAGTATTCTTCAACCATGTGGATAGGTGAGAAAGGATCGGCTACAAACTTAAAAGATTTGGGGGATGGGCTGGAGAGATGGCTGAGCGGTTAAGAACACTGACTGCTCTTGCAGAGGACCTGGGTTTGATTCCCAGGACCCACATGGTAGCTACAAACCATCCTTAACTCCATTTCCGGGGGAATCTGAAGATCTCTTCTGACCTCCACAGCAGGTGCACACACATACATGCAGGCAATACACTCATACACATAAAATAAAAATAACAAAATAAAATATATAAAAAGATTTGGGGGAAAAGTTTATATTAAGAACTTACTAATGATCTACATTGAAGGAGAATAGCATGGCTTAATATGCATAATGATAAAATTCAACTAGAAGGCAAAAAAAATAAGTCCAATGCACATTGTATATTGAGAAATGGATATTACATTGCAATGATAGAATCACAATATTTTAAGTTGTCTGCTTTGTCAAATCTGCTAGATACTCTTTTGCAAGCGTAACTCCTGCTGTAGTTCAGCCTTCACAGGGACTTTCATACAAAGACTGACAGTTCAGGTAGGATTATTGAAAGAAGAAAGTAGCCCACTGAATTATACCTCAGAAACACTCCAGGTGCCTGACAGGTAGTTATTTGCATGGCATTGTGCTATAGACAGGGCTCTGATGAGGCAGACCAGAGAAATTTTCATCCAAAATCCCTTATAATAGTCTCATTCTATTTTGCATCTCTTCCTTTAAAGAAAAAAGGAACATATGAATAAGAATTCATATGTTCCTTTTCAGCAGTACAGATTTTCAGCATCTTTGTTAGCTCGTCATCAATTAGGCCATGAAAAAAAAGAAAGTTGTGCTATCATTAAGGAAGGCTGTGAAAATTTATTTATTTACTTATGGGGAAAAGCTTTCTATAAGCAAGACCACTTTTCATTTTGTAGAATGGTTAAAATATAGCCCTATTTTAAAGAGGATCCAAGTTTCTATTAACTTCCTAATTAGATTTTATATCCTGAAATCTAATTTCATGAGCAAATACTGCTCCATAGCCATCTCACAAAACACCCCACTCATGGCAATGATTTATGTTGTATATTGAGTTAACTCTTCATGCTTTATTTTCCTTTCCAACATTTGAAAATGATTACAGCCCTGCTAGGCCTATTTTAAGCAGCTTTGAATGAAAGCAATCTAATATTTTTCTTAACTCTAATATGTATGTTTATAACTATACTGTAATCTACGTCAGTTCTTCCTAATGACAGGGCACTTTACTTGGGGTTTATTTGGATAACACTTTCTAAATACATTTCACTACCCCAGGCTAGTGAGCTGACAAAATGAAGAAGCATCCATGGTGTGTGATATTTTAAAGATAGGGAGATGCCAAAAGCATTGCAGGAAGAAACATCCCTAAAGATTATTACCATGGTGTCTACCAGAGTGAGAAGTAGGTGGCATAATATCCTGAGACATAAATTCTCTGAGGCAGAACATAGAATTTTACTACCTAAATGTAATAAGATGTATTGTGCTATCAGCAAAGGCCATGGAGCTCTGTGTGATTAAAATAAAAAAGGATCCAAATATCTGCCTTTAACTACCATTTAATGATAATGATTTTTGTCTTTAACATTTATATTGGGAGTCAAGAAAGAGGCAAGCTGCAGGCTATCTAGTAATAATATGAATAATAATAACTAGCAATTGGCCTTTTCTTCCTCCTTAGTTCTCAGCAGCCTGTTTATTCTCACAGAAAGTCTTCTTCCTTCATCTCAGTTTATATGGTAATGGAAATATTAGCCTAAAAATTGTGTTATGTACCACATGCTGATGAAGGCAGTTTAGCATTAGATTTACATTAGGAATGATGAGTCAGCGAAGGGTACTGTGCATCCATCTCTTTTATATGTTATCTCATTTACTTTTCCTGGCAACCTTATAAGGAACATATTGTCACTCATTTATTTACTTTCACAACCTTGGAGAATTAGTACTTATAAGCTTGCAATAAATATGATCTCTTACCAATAGAGACCTGGAGTTGGCTCACACTAGATGACAAAATCCAACTGTCAAACATTCAGAATATTTTTGGTAGTATGGGATCAAATTGGCTATGGTAGGAGTATTCACACCATCAAAATGAAAAAATTTAAAAACAGGCCTCCATCCATCAGTTTCCACAGCACAGGTATCCCAGCTCACCCTTGCTAGACAAAAGAATTTCACAGGAGGTGTTCTTAAACCCTGATTTCCATTAGCTCCAAAGCATGCTCAAGCCTTATTCCCTAGTCTATAAGGTTTCAGATAAGGAACAATCTAATTCTGAGTTTCAAGAAATAGAGCATGTGACAACATTCAACACATCCTTCCGTATTTTTCAGTTCAGCTTCTTCTGTATTTTTCACGTGAATTAGTTGCCCTCATTTAATGGAAATGTCTTAGGACTGAAATAGTTCTTCATTATACCCACTAGATTATCAGCTAGAATTATAAAATTAAGCTGGAGGTTGATAGATCAACTGCTACAAAATAGGTCAAGGTATAGTGTTGGTTTTGGTTACTGCTTTCATTATTTCCATAAAATGTTACCATGAGTAAGCCAGCAGTGGTGGTGCATGCCTCTAATCCCAGTACTTGGGAGGCAGAGGCAGGCGGCTCTCTGTGAGTTCCAAGACAGGCTGGTCTACATAGTGAGTTCCAGGCCAGCTCGAGCTACAGGGAGACCTGGTCTCAAAAAACAAAAAGACCAAAACCATAATGCTATCATGAGTATAGTCATTTCATAAACTTCTATTTCATTAACAGATTATTGCTATATTTTAACATTCAATTTGCAATTACTAATTTCTAGCCCCCTAAAATAGTATGTATGTTTGTGTATACATACTACTGTTTATAAGTATATAAAGAGAGTGTTCCAATAGCAGTGAAATTTTCAAAATAAAGAGAAAAACAATAACTTAGAGTGGAAAATGTTATAAAAAATGAAATAGCACATAGGCAAGCTCCCATCCCACAACTAAAAGGGAATCTAAGGGTCTAGACAGATGGTTAAGTGGTTTCTTAACCAAGCTGCTCTTTGAAAGAACCCAAAATCAGTTCCCAGCACCCACATCAGATGGCTCACACGCACCTGTAAATTAAACTCTAGGGTATCTGACACCCTCTTCTGGAACTCTTCAATCACCTGAACTCAGGTGCACATACCCAAACACAGACAAACATGCACACAGTTTAAAAAAATGTGAACAATTTCCCATCTTGAAACTGAACATTCTACAAAAGTTGATCAACTGATTAGAACTTCAGTGATTGTGGAAAGTTTGGAATACCGCAAGTTCACAGCCTAATTACCATTTACCTTGGGTTATCTTTGGCCACTTCTTGCTCAGCTTTGTTTCTGACTTAACTTCCAAGACTAACCGCCTTTCAGGAATGTATTAACTTAGCGGACCAGCCTTTTGGTTTCCACCAACCAAAAGGCTGAGTGCCATGAGAGAGCATCTGAGGCCTATAGCTGAGATTTCTCTTATGCTGTATCTGCCTCCTTAATGTTTCCACCAGTGTATTTGAAAAGTGTCTTGATTTATGACTTTACTTTTCTCTGTTACTATAAAAACTTCATGAAACTGTTACCATGTTGGAACATGGAATTTGGGGTAACCTGAATCTGTGTTCCCAAGCCATGGTCACTCATATTTGTCTCCAGAATAAACCATCTCTTATCACTTTGAGGTGAGAATTATGCTTTTGAGTTGACCATAATAAAAACAAATTGTTAAAAGAAAGGAAATATAAGAAAAAAAGGATGATGAATTTTAAACATAGGGTACTCAAGTATCACCTTTTAGTTTTAAAATAGTATCCTGTAATACTTAAAAATTATAAATGTCCCTGTATTCATTACTTTTCTTGTCTCTATGACCAACTTTGTGACAAGAATCAACTTAAAGGAGGAAAGACTTCCTATGGTTCATGGTTAGAGGATACAGTTCATGATAATGGGGAAAGAATGGCAGTGATCACAGCTCTCCACTATATGACAGCAACATGATGCTGCTTGTTCACATCTGGGCAGATTAGGAAGCCAAAGAAGGACAGGATATGAGGCAGACCTACAAATCTCAGGTCCCCCAGCCTAAGTGACCCACTCCCTCCAGCTAGGGCCTCACTTATAAAAAGTCCTAAAACCTCCCAATCCAGAGCCACCAACTTGGGAACAAGTGTTCCAGTATATGAGCCTGTGGAAGTCACTTTGTACCTATACAATAACAACCTACATAGAAGTGTTACTTGTCAAAGCCAACATTTGAAAAATGGTAACACAAACACACACACACACACACACACACACACACACACACACACAAAACTAAGAAATGTTTATGTCCCCTTTCAATTTCAGGGGAGCCTATGGTCATGATGTAGGGAAACGCCCTTGGATTATAGGGGATGAGAGCATTGTAGGCCTTATGAAGGACATTGTAGGTAAGTACAAAACATGGTGAATATTTTCCAAGAGAATTGTGAAGATATTTTTTTAGTCATAAACCTGTGATGTAATCAAAATCTTATAGAATAATATTCTGATTTTCTAAGTTAACACATAAATGTAAAGAGAATATATACCTTTAAATAATATTTTTCCTCCCAAAGGTTGTTATGAACAATATAATCAAGGTATATAGTATAAAAATTAGTTACCTATTATTTTTTCTTGTAGACTATTTCATTCATTTGTTTGTTCACTTGATTCTCTATTCTGTAGTACTGGGGATACACCCCAGATCCTTATTCTTAACAGGCAAGTATTCTACCACTAAGCTTTATCACGAGCCTCTTGTGTATTTGGTTTTTTGACACAGTCTTCTTATGTAAGTTTGGCTATCTTTGAACTCTTTATCCTCTTGTCTTGGCCTCTTGGGTACTGGGAGTAAAGACATGATCATCCATGCCCAGCATATTCAATACTTTTAAATTTGTATTTATCATACCCCTTGAAGAACATGCACATTTAATTAAGCAAATTTCATAAAAATCTGTGGTGGCACATGCCTGTAGTCCCAGCACTTGGGAGGCAGAGGCAGGCAGATCTCTGTGAGTTCAAGGCCAGCCTGGTCTACATAATGAGTTCCAGGACAGCTGGGCCTACAGAGAGACCCTGTCTCAAAAAAAAAAATCCAAATGAATTTTATGTAATACCATTACGTGATAAACATTCATTTTTATTAATATAGTTGATTTAAAGCACTGAGAGGCTCACTTCAATTTAATTATTGATGATTTATTTATATTAAGTCTGAGCCAGATATAGATAACAGAGGGTGGGTGTGGAGATCTTGAGTTTGTGGCCAGCCAGATTGCATAGTGAGACCTTAAGTAGCAAACAAAAAAAGTAGGCTAAAAGTTTTTAAGATTTATTTTAAGGCCAGGTATGGTTGCACATTCCTTTAATCCCAACATTTGGGAGGCAGAGGCAGGTGGATCTCTGTGAGATGGAAGCTGATGGAAGCCAGCTTGGTCTACATAGTGAGCTCCAGGCCAGCTGGGGCTACTGAGAGACCCTGACTCAAAAAACAAAACCCAAAAATTTGTTTTATCATTTTAAATTATGTGTTTGTGTGTGTATATCTGTGTATGGGTATGTGCATGTGAGTGCAAGTCCCACAGAGGCCTAAAGAGGGAGTTAGAGTTAGAAGTGGTTGTAAGCCATCTTGCACCGGTGCAAAACACTGAACTCAGATCCTCTCAAGAGCAGGACATGCTCTTAACCATGACCATCTCCCCAGCACCAAAGTTTGAAAACTGATATGTTTGATGCTATTTTCTGGGCATAATGTTTTTCCTAAAGTAAATTACATGTCAATTAAATGTAATTACATGTCCTGTTAGTGGAATTGTTATTTGTTATTTCAATGGTTTGAATATTCATCATGGACTGAAATATCAGGTGAAATTTAGAGCTCTGATCAAAAAAGATGATTTTTTTTTCCTATTACAGTAGTGTTTAATGAAATATTTTGTGCACTTAAGGAAATTCCAAATTTTTATGGCTTTTTAAATCTTGCCCCCTTGTCAGCAAATATAAAAGTCTCTTTATTATTTTATCTTGGCCAGTAATCAGAAAATCAAATCAACATGGTGGAGAGTAGAATTAGATTGGGGAAAGTAGCACTTACTTGAAGAAAGAATTAAGACAAACCATTAAAATCTAGAAAATATCTTTATTCAAATAAGATTTTTGAACCTTTTCTGAATGCCAAAACTATACTACGGAAGAAATGTTGAATAGAAAGACTTCCTGCCCTGTCTCTGTAGCAAAGCAAAATTCACAGAGCTGCAAAAGTTAATAGAGTGCACAATCAAATAAAATGCAAAGAAGCCTAGCACTTTTCACTGTGACTTGTAGCACAGTAGGAATGTGTGTTTTCAGCTGAGTGAGGACTGAATACATACTGGAATAATTTTCATAGGAAACATCAGTAACAAATTATTTCAAGAATTTGAAAAATCTATGCAAACTCTCAAAGGACAAAATAGAAAGACTAAACTATTGGTAATTGCTTTTGATAGCTAGCTAGAAGACAGGTAAAGAGATAGATGGATAGAGAGAAAGAAAGACAGGTAGATAGAAGATAAATAGATAAACAGATAGCAAACCAAGTTTTAATCTCCTAATGGTAAAACAAATAAAAACATATATCCTACATATCTTTAAAAGATTTGCAGATTACTTAGCTAAACACCAGAAGAAGTGTTGATGAAGGATGGAACAAAATGCTGTCTAATTTATTCAAAGACCAGCTCCCCAGGAGTCTCCCATACCAAACTGCAGGAGAATACTGGAGGGTCAGAATACGAGGGTGAAGACTAGCATACCTGGTTATCTCAGGCTGGCATAACAAAGTATCACAGATTGGAAGGCTTAAAAAGATGGATTATTTTTTCTCTAAGGCCAACCACTTATGATCTAAGTGCCACCAGGCTCTTGTCAGATGAGGGCTCTCCACCTGGCTTGCACAAGCCAATTTCATATTATTCTCCGGTGGCCTTTATTTCTTACATAGAAGGACAGCAAAAGATCCTTGGGCCCCTTGCTCTTCTTGTCAGAAAGTCAGTCATACCTGATTAAGGCCTCACCCCTTATGACCTCATTTATCCTTAATTAATAATGTATAGGGCTATCTCCAAATGTACTGGGAATGAGAGCTTCAACACATGAACTTGGGTAGACATGTTTAATCCATAACATGTAAAAATAAATATGCGATTTACTTCAGGCTGAACTCATACAGGAGAATACCATGCCTTCCATGCACTTTCTGTGCTTTCAAACTAAAGGTTCTGACAGGATATTTACCAGCAATGATTCAGTGCAACCACATTTTGCAAGCTGCATCATGTGGCAAAGACCACATTCGTGCTTAATAATCGTCTTTCAAATTGTAAACCACAGTAGTAGATTCTTTATTTAAAATTTTAAACTCTCAGTCAAAAGAATTGCAAGCAAAAGCAAGCTCTATTTCTCCTCAGTTATTATTGAATAGCCACTGTACAAATTTCCATTTTTAAATATGGCTGTTATTGAATATTATACTGAGTACATACTAAAAATATGGCCCAGAGAAATGATAAAACAATGAATGTAAGTATGTCTTCATAGACCAAAAGCATACTTGCTATGAAGGAGGAGTCCAAAGCTTGGAAGTACACTTTTGAGGGGACAGCACATGGAGCTAGTCTCCAATGTAGAATGTGAGTTAAGAGCATTTACTAGAATCCCTGGGGTGTCATGGGGCGGGGGACAATGCAGAAGGGCCTGGAGAGATAGATGCGCAATGGAGAAGAATATGTGGCACTCTTGCAGAGGACCCAGGTTTGGTTCTTATGAGCACACACATGGCAGCTAACCACTCCAGTTGCTGGGAATCCTATACCCTCTCTTGGCCTCCACCGACATTGCACACATGGTGCTCTTACATTCATGCAGGTGAAACACTCATATACATAACATAAAAATAAGTCAATAATTTAAAAGTTATTTAGGATGTGTCTATGCAGTCTGAATTCTGGAATCTGGAATCCAAAGACAGAATCTTTTACAACATGGCCTAGAAAAAACCCAAAGCCCAATATCTTCTACCATACCAGTAAGTTTTCCTGGAATAAAACCCCTGATCCAGCTGTCAGAATTCTCTAGATTGTATATGCTAAGGGAAGAAACTCAAGCCCAAAAGATCTGGTTGTAGTTAAGGCTGAAGTGAATAATTGTTTCACAAAGCTTCTATGTGTGTTCACTTTGGAAAACCAATTGTCGACAAACAAAAATCTAAAGTTTTGCGTTAATTTGACCTGAGAATGTATGTGCCTTTAGCTGTGGATGTTCCCTGAGCTATGGAGTGTGTGAGTGTGTGAGTGTGTGTATGTGTGCACATGCAAGCACACCCACGCTCATGGGCTCACTAGGTTGTTTACATACATCAACAACATTCTAATTCTATTTTGGGTTTTGTATTTATCATCCTCTAAAGAGGAATTAGGATGTTTATATACAGGCCAGCGAAGTGCTAAGAGGATATTATTCAATAGATTTATTTATGAATCCAGTAAACCCTTCAAAAAATTTCCATTGATCATTTAAAAGTTTATATCTTTATTCCAACTCTTTAAACATGTCTTTTGCTGTGTCACAAAGTTTCAAAGCAGCCACCTTCCTCTGTTGTTAGGAAAGGGGAAATGACTATAAATACTCAGTTTGCTTAGAAAAGAAAATTGCTGATTTTTTTTAATTTGAAAAATGTATATTAACCTTAGCTATGTGGAATCTTGTCTGTCTTTCAAATACTATAAAAAATCATTTAATTCCTGTTCTGGTGTGTTTCTAACAGTGGAAATCAGTTGTGACATTAAAACTGCTTCCAACCATTCAGTTAATTTTGACACTGTCATCTCACAATTGGTATACATCCAATAGCTTAAGACTCAGTCCCCCTTGACTATTCCCAATTCTGACCCTGCGATAGGACCTGGGAACCAACCATATTTTCTACTTGCCATCTCTATATTAAGGGATTTCTACATAACACCTCAGCTCTGATGACTTGACACAGAACAAGAGGAAACACTTTACTTAACTGACCGCCTTATTATAAAGGATAAAACTTAGCAACAGCCAGTGAGGAGAGGCAAAGGGCAGGGCCATGTGGGAGGACTGGCACAGCATCTTTCAGAGCTTGCTGCTCTTTCAACACTTATGTCTGTTCTCCAACTCAGATCTTGTGCAATCTGAGTTTTCTGGAGCTTAATATCCAGTCCTCTCATTTCCAGGAAGCAGTGGGTAAGGCCACAGGTTCCGACAATCTGGTCACTTGGTTTCTTTTTTGACTTCACGTAAGTCACACAATACCACTAACCTAAGTGTTATTTTAAGGGACTTGTTAAGAATAGCATAAGACATTCCTATGATTTTGGAGAAATCCATGGGATTT